TTGCCACACGATGCTGGCCTGAGCACTGGGAGGCCTCCTGTGCCTGGGGCCGCTGTCCTGGCACGATGACGGTAGGGCTGCAGCCCAGGGAGGCCCACGCACCACCAGCAGGCGTCCTACCTCTCGGAGGAGAGGGTGCCTGGGGCAGGGCCCCCCGGGCTGTGGAGACCTGCCACTCCTGCCTCTCTGTCCATCCCAGAATCTGCTCATCAGGGACTTGTTCGACTGCCCTGGGAGTCCCCGCCCCCTGGGGAGCGGGTGCCCATTCCCGCGGCCACAGCATGCCCCAGGGCCTGGCCTCTGGCCACGTACTCACGTTTCCCATGCCCACAGAGGCAGGGTCACTGCCTGCCTTGTTTAGGGCACTCGAGCTCCAGGGAGGACCTTGGTCCAAACTGGCTCAGCCGTCTGCGACCCTCTGACCCTCTTGGAGTCTCGGCCGTAGCCCGCTCTGTGCGTCTTTACCTGCTGGCTGGGAGGACCGCGACCCAGAGGTGAAGTGCCCAGACTCGGCCTGCCAGGTAGGGAACCGCGGAGAGGCCCGGAGAGCAAGAGGGGGCCAGTGGCCAGGGCGGGGCGGGCCCCGATGCCTCACACTCACTTGGCATGTGCCCAGCTGGAGGCCCAAGCAGTTTGAGGAGGCCGTGGAGGTCAGGGTGCCGGATGCCCGACCTCAGCACAACGAACGCCAGCCTGGCAGGGCCCAGAGTGTGCCCGCCAGCCGGCCAGGCAGAGCCTTTGTAGGCTTGGGAGGTGACGGTGGGGCACCCCGGGACATGCCGTCGGCCTCTCTGGAGGCTGGGACAGGCAGGAGGCTGCCCCGCCCCCACCCAGCAGCAGCTGCAGGGTATAGAAATGACATGGAGGCCGGTGATGGCATGAGATGGAGAACTGGGTCCCATGTGGCCCGCTGCACGGTCTGAGTCCCGGCCCTGGTGGCTTAAATACGCCCTGGGTGCCTGTGCCTGTGTGCCCACAGCCCTGGGGGCCTCCTTGCTGTCCCCGGCTCGGGAGAGCACACATTCCATGTTTTGTATTCCCTGACGATGCTCAGGGAATGAATGTAAATTAATTCATTAAAAAATGTTTCAGAAAAAAAAAAGCTCATGGAAATACGTGTAATGGGAAAACTATGTATGAATTTCAAAAAGTTTTTGTACCAAAATAAATTCATACTTTAATTGTTAAAAAAAACACTAAAACACACACAGAGTTTTAAAAAGTAGACAAAGACAAGTTGACGTTAGCATCAGGCCCCTGACAGCAGGGGCCCACCAGGGGAGGTCCCAAGCTGAAGACATGCCGGCCGCATGCAGGCAGGCAGGGGCACTGGTGGCACGGCATGCTTCAGGAGTGACCTAGGAAGGCCCTTCCTGGCCACAGGGAGGTGGCCACGTGGTGGCGCAGAGCCGCAGGTGGGCTTCCCTGCGTGTCCAGCCCGCCTGCCCCCGCCCTTGCTGGGCGGGCAGCACCTACGGGCCTGGCGGGCCCCAGCACCGCCCCCAGCAGCTCCCTCCGTCTCACCTGAGCATGCCGCTGGGCCTCCAAGCCAGCACTCACCACCGAGTCCTGCGCCTGCACTCTGCACACTTCCGGGCAGCCTCCCGCCGCTGGCTCCTTCCCGCCTGGGGGCAGGAGGTAGCCTCATTACGTGACGTGGGACGTACCCTGCAGAGCCCCCTGGTGGCAGGGTCGGAGGAGCCGCCAAAGCGCTCGCTAGTGCCGAGGACCTGCAGGTGCTGGCCTGCACAGTGGCAGCTTCTGAACAACCCATGTGCCCAGATGAGCTGGGAGGACGCAGCGCAGAGGGCGTGGCAGCCGGGCATGGGTCAGCCCCCCTCTGCCCCAGGCCCGCCGACCCCTCTGCTCTGTGCAGGCTCCATGCGAGACCTCCCAACTGCTGGCCATCAGCCCGTCTGCCCTAGCTGGTCGTGGAAGCCCATGAGAGAGGAGCCCTTGCTTGGGGAGAGCCGAGCTGCGCAGGCAGGACCCAGAGTCTCGGCGCAGCTGGATGGTGGCCTGTGCCGGCTGCTCCTGGCTTCCTGGGACTTGGAACTCGATGTGGCAGCGGAGTTGTCAGGACACTCCGGGCACTGAGGATCCTCCTCTCCACCTTCCTGGTCGCCTGCCCTGCATGCACTCTCTGGCACCTGTCTTCACCTGTGTGTCCACAGCGTTGCTGTTCCCCAGACTGCTCAGTGGTGCCCGGGCACACGCTGGATAGGATGGCAGTACCCTGGAGCGGAGATCTGGGCCGCACCCTGCTCCACCCCTGCCCCAGCTGACAGGGTCTCTTCCCCAGGGCTGTAAGTGCACCTCTTAGCTAATGAGGAAGCTGAGTGTAGCCATGAGCACCTGCTGTGGGGGGCCCTGAACCATCAGAGCAGTGTCTCCAAGTCTGCGGCAGGCAGAGTCCCAGGTCCCCGCCAACTGAGTGCAGCTGGGAGGCCTGCAGTGGCCCCTCTGGCTCGGGGAACAGACAGGGACGCTGTGTGGGTGGTCCTGAACAACCCAAGGTCCCTGGCAGGCAGGCAGGGGAGCGTGGGGCCAGGCTTGGCAGGATCTGCTGCCAGTGGGTGCCTGGGAGGTGCAGACTGCGAGGCCCTGGTCCAGGCAGCAGGCCCAGGTGGGCCGCAGGCAGGCTCCGTGTGGCGCTTCCTTCGTGTCCCAGTGGCCGCTAGATCCGGGACCCCAGCAGGTCTCACCTGCTGCGGAAGCCCTGGTTACCGCCTGGCCTGGGACTGGGTCTGGTGCGGCCAGGCTCTCACCTGGCCAAGTGGCCTGTGGTCAGGATCCTTCAGGGAATGGGCACCTCCAGCAGAAGACAGGGCCGGTGCCCTGTGCGGCCCGCTGTCTGGTCCTTCCTTGCCCAAAGGGGGTTTGCTTCTCTCTGGAGCCCCCCAGGGGCCTGGAGGTCAACCATGGGGGCAGGGTAGGGGTGGTGGGGCTGCTGCCCCTCAGGGAGGCCTGTGCAGACTGGGGTGGGCACCGCTGGTTGTGTGAACCGCTGCTGCCCTCTACTGTCCAGATCCCCACTTGCTGGGCTCTCTCTGGGGCTCTCCCTGGGGGTCTGGGGAGCAGTGGGATGGGGGTCCTGGGAGTAAGATGTGGCACCAGCTTGTGTGGGCCCACCACCACTCCTCCCCCTGGCAAACTGGGGCTTCTGCTCAGCCTCAGGTCCCTGCTGGTCAAGGCTGGTCCGGGAGCAGAGTTGGAGAACCTGGGTGCAGGCCAGCAAGTGGGGGCCCTCTGTGGCGGGTACAGCTGGCATGCCCTGCTGTGGGGCAGTGACAGGCTGGCAGTGCACCGGCAGAGAAGGGCCTCAGGAGGGGATGTGTGTGGACGTCACCAGGGCCCGACTGTGGTGTGAGGGACACAGGGGAAGGGGGGCTCCA